CTTTTTCTTTGAGGGTGTTCGGTTGCAGGGTACAAACAAAGTAAGATGGCACAAGCTTATGTTCTTCTTTTACTGCATTCTTCACTGTTTTGCAGTTTTAGTGCAGGGTTTCCCACCTTTGCACAGTCTTCAACGATTCTTGTACACTCTTTTCAGCGCACCTGCACATTTTTGTCAGGGTGCACGGTACTTCTAAGTAAGACCCTCCCGACAGATTAGGACAACTATCATAAGGATGCGGGCGATGGTAGCAGCCCTCCCGCTGATCTATAGGACGGAAACCATTCAGGTCAGCAACTTTGTCACAGCAGGAGCCAGGGCCGCTAGCATCAACCATACCCCTGAAGCAATGCATGGCAGAGGGCATGCCGGTTGCAGGCCATGACGATTGTGCGGCGTTCGCCATCCCAGTTAAGCGCACATTCGCTATAGCGCCCGCAGCCACAGATCGCACATACTGCATCTGGATGTAGAGGATGTTCACAACCCGGATACAGGTGGCATCCCTGCCGACAGCGGGCCCGAAAAATTATACAGTTGTAGTGATGTCGACAAAGTCGATGCTTTCCACAACCAAGTGTAACTGTTTCAGTGATCTCACAAAGGAGGTCACAAGGTGTTAGTGCAGCATGTGGGGCAATGAAGACTAAAGCAGGCATGGTGACAGACACAGAAATGGGCACAGAGACAGGTGCGGAGGCAGGCACAGAGACAGTGGCACAAGCGGGGATGGAAGTACACGAGGAGGTATCATCATGAAACTGACTGGCGCCAGGTAATTCAGAATCTGAATTTCGTTCACCTGGTTCCATCTGGATTCGAAATGGGGTCTGCATTTCAACAGTTTATGGGTGTACCAACTAAGGGCTAGACCCCACAGGCTCACGGTATCTTCATGCCTGGACAGTATCCCCCAACACAAATCGTAGCCGTCGGGAATGGGCAAAAGAAAAGCGACTCCACTGCCACAACAGATTTCGGCAGATTTCGGCACGTCCGCGGGTTTACGTTACCAGGTCAGGAAAAAAAAAAAAAAAAAAAAAAAAAAAAAAAAAAAGGTTACCAGATCAGGAAGACTTGCCCATGCCCTTTCGGGCAAGTGTGCCTCCTATTTTTCAGCGCACCGTCCAATCCCTGTGCCTCCTTTCCTCACGGGATGGCTGAATCAAGATGGTAACCTCGGGGCTACCATGTTGTTTTGCCACAATATTTCGGACATTGGAGTGCCACGGAGGAATTTCCCATCATGACCCTATGTGAAAACGTCCCCCTAAGACTTCTGACAAATGCTAACAATAAAAATGGTAACCAGTGTACTAACCCCCAATGGGCCTAGCTCAGTTGTTACACCCATGAACTGTTAAAGTACAGACACAGTTCGAATCAAGATGCTACCAGATGACCAGAATAAACTCATTCTCAATCACCTGGCGCCGTTCAGTTCAATTACCTGGGACCGTCGCCCTTTCCAAAAAAAAAAAAAAAAAAAAAAAAAAAAGGTAACCCCACAAACAGTAGTAACCAGAAGGATGGTAACCAGAGAAAGAATGGTGAACCACCAATGGGCCTAGCTCAGTTGGTACACCCACGAACTGTTGAGATACAAACTCGAGTGCAAATCTACATACTATCAGATGAACAGACTAAAATCATTCCTCTGATCTGAATTGCCTGCAACCGATCACTTCAATGATATGATGATATCTCGAGGCCGTCGCCCTTTTTATTTAGAAAAAGGGGAAAGGTAACCATAAAAAGACATGGCTGCAACTAGGCTACCATCCGGGCCGCCCGGGTCACCTTGTTTTCCCAGGCGCCCCGGCCGTGTAAGACCAGGGAGTGTCCCAGCAACAAAAAAATTTCCAAAAAATCCCAAAAAAAAACTATGTTATGCAGAATATTAAACTAACTTTTGCCTCAGGGTCACATCGAAATTCTTTACCAAATTCAAGACCAAAAAAAAAAAAAAATTCTAGCCACAGAGAGAGAGAGAGAGAGAGAGAGAGAGAGAGAGAGATGCCCGGTAAACCATAAAGCAGAGAGGGAATATATACTTTTGCCCCGGCCGGGCAAATGGTCCCGGGCCACTCTGGTGTAGCCCTAGACATGGTAACCATACACCGTAACAAAAAAAAAAAAAATGGTAAATAGAAGAATGGTAACCAGAGAAAAAAAAGGTGACCAGAAAAAGAACATGGTAACCACAGACGGTAATCAACAAGAATTTGGACACAATTGTTGACAAGAGCAACGTTTATTTTTGCTAGCCCGAGATGATTATATCCGTCCGCAACGAGGCTTCTGACACAAACGCTTACGACAGAAACGTTCCCTTTTAGCCCTAAATAAACATCATCGTGTGCATCACCGTGCTCATCATCAGCGTATGAGAACTCATTACCTGTTTATAGCCCTGAACATCATCGTGCCCATCATCGTGCCCATCATCGTCCTCATGAGCTGCTTATAGCCCTAAACATCATCGTGCGCAATATCGTGCTCATCATCAGCGGATGAGAACTCATGACCTGTTTATATAGCCCTACACCTCATCGTGCGCAACATCGGCATTAGAACTCATGACCTGGGTTTATCGACAGCTTCATGCGTGTGCGTGTCCTTCGCCCACCAGGGCGAGATGACAACGAAAACTTTCCGTAAGTGTTTGATGAAAAGGGCTAAAAGGAGTAACAAAAACTTTCCATACGTTTGATGAAAGGGGTAGAAGGGGTATACATCATCGTGCCCATTATCAGGAGTCGAACTCGTGACCTGGTTTTATCGACAACTTCATGCG